GACATCAGCAAAGAGATTGCTGGGTTCATTAGAGTTTAGGTTCAACTCTGAATACAGTATTAGTGGAAATTTGTGGCTTAGGAGCAGGGCAGTGGTCATGGGATGTAAACCTGCTAACAGAAAACATCAAAAGAGTTAGGAGGATTCTGATTAGTTGATCTAACAGTGTTTTTGCTATAGACAGGCTATGATCATTAGAATTACTTGAGCAATGTTGAAAGATCAGTTCCTGATCAGATCAACAGAGATCCATATCAAAGTGGGAGTGGTTTGCTAAAGTGACTTAGCATGGGTTTTGCAAAAAGTTTATTATTCAAGGAAGTGGACAGATGCATCTAGGGAGAAAGTTCAGAATCCAGAATAAATCTTGTCCAAACAGAAAAGTTTCTCATTAATGCACAAACACACATAAGTATATGAGGTGATTCATGTTAGTGTGATTAATCATTCTACATGTATACTGCTGGGAGCCATTAGCCAAGTAGGTATGACAATTTCCTTGCCAGGGTACCCCATGTTGCTGACATTTTGCAGTGACATTGCATGTAGGTGACCTTGCTCAAGGACCAAGGCGGATTAGGGTGTTCCCGGTTTAAGATAATCGGGTTTAGGGCGTTCCCAGTTTAGGTTCCAGGTTTAAGGTTTAAGATTATTCCTGCTGGGAATAGGGCGTATCCTGCTGCCTGAGTTCCCCTTGAGTTCTCACGGGATTCAGACAGTATATTTTGGGAGACAGAAGCCCAGTGGTGGTGGATTTGGGCAGAGAACGTGGATTTCCCCAGAACGTGATTGTAGACGGCTGGTGTGAGTTCAGGAATAAAGAGTTGCTGTTTGAATCTACAAGCTGTGTGGTGGCTTGTGATTGTGTGCCCAGCCAGACTGCAGCATTTGTGCCCAGCCAGACTGCGGCAGTATACATGTACCAAAACACCACTTTGTACACCATAGACATATACAATTTTAATCTGTAAAAATTTTTTTTTAAAATGCTATACAGTGGAGGTCAACTCTATTGTAATAGAGAAGAGAGATTGCCCACTGAAAAAGGGAAAGTCTGTGGGGAATTTATATCCAACAACCAGAGTGAAGGAAATTTATTAAAATTTATTAAATAGTCAAAATTATTTTTACTAAATTATTAAAAGAAAACATCAAGGATAGTGGTCTTTGAGGTTAGTCAAGCAATATAGTAAGACCCTGTCTTTAAAAAAGGGGGAGAAAAAGATGAAAGGAAACAAGGAAGGGAGAAGGGAAGGAAGGAGAAGAGAATATTTTTTAACTGCTTTTTCTTTTACATTTTTTTTAGTTGAAGATAGACACAATACCTTTAATTAATTAACTTTTTTTTTTGTGGTGCTGAGGATTGAACTCGGTGCCTCACACATGCTAGAGAAGTGCTCTACTGAAGTGGCACCCCCTTTCTCCACAGAAAAGCCCTCTTCACCATGTCTGATTTTAGGACTGTCAGCAAAAGAGTCCATTGTAGATAAACTTCCTATTTTCATGTCACCCTGTTTACTTGGCCACTGGCTGAGAAGATACTCCAGGTGCTGGACACCCCCTTACTAGTTTTCACAAACGTATCCAGTATAGTACTTTGAAGAAATGTGCAAACAAGGTCTCTGGCCTTGAGCTGGGCTTCAGAGAGATGTCTACATTTTTAAGATAAGTTACAACTGGGCTCCATGGTAACAGCTGGCAGGGGGAGGAAAGAAAGGGGAGAAGAAGCTTTCCCCTTCTCAGGTGTTGTCCTTGAAGAGTTAACATGCCCAGAACAGTGAAAGAAAAAGCTGCTTTTATGTGAACTTCTGCAGACTGTGAACTTCTGAGCCCCTCCCCTTATATGCTGGGTATAAAACTCTGAAACTCCCTGAACTCGGGGTTCAGGGGATTGATTGATTACAGCAAAAGCTGTGTTCTCTGAACCTGGCTGCAGCCAAATAAAACTGTTTCCTGCTGTCTTCGGTGCCTTGCCTCGTTTGTCCCTACAACACTATCAATAAGCCAAAACCACAGCCCAACAGTGTTCTTGAAGGGAAGGAAGAAAGAGACAGTGCTGTCTTGCTAAACTGTCCTAATAAGACCTTTTCTAAAGACAAGCCATCATGGGCGGGCAATGAGAAACTTCATCAATTATCATGAGTGATGAAATATCAGGTTGGGGGTGTCATGAGCAAGCTATACCATCACCATGTAATAGTGGTTCACTTTACCTTTTGAACATAACCCTTGCTGCTTATTTTAAAAGGGACATATTTTCTTCTCTTCTTCCTCTCCCCCTCCTTAACCTGGAGGCAGGGAACAATATTACCTGGAGTTATTGGTTCTCCACAGGAAGGAGATGTCACCATTAGAACTAGGAAGTGACTGTCTCCCAAATTAACTAGTGAATTCCAACACACCAAAATGGCACACCCAGGACCCCTGTCATGTAGCTTTTGAAGAGCTTCTTTAAAAGCCCTTTGTTTTCCCTGATGGGAAGAACCATAGCCTCTGGGACTAGATTCCCCTGTGTTTTTCCTTTGCTAGCAAAGCAATAAGCCTTCTTTTTCCTTTTTCTCAAAACTGTATCCTCATTATTAAATTGGCATGAATTGGCATTGGGGAGAAGGAGCGAGCTTTTGGTAACAAACATAAACCAAACACATTTGTGTCTTTACAAAATGCCAGAATTTATTGAAATTGACAAGCTACACCACTTTCACTGGTAGCAAAAAATTCATCAATTACTTCTGGTTCACTTGATAGTCATAAGCTGAGCAATCAAAAGTTCTTTTATTTCATTCCAATCTTACTATAACTCTCAATTCACACGTCATACTTCACACAAGTATATACACACATACAAATATGTCACAAAGGGACAAAAAAGGGGTAAAGGAGGCTACAGGCTACAGGGTTACAGGACGGTTTGCTAAGGGTACAAGCGGAGAGCACACAGGAATGAGAAAAGTCAAAGAGTTATGGTACGTGCTCAGATATTTTTTTTTTGTTTTGTTTTTTGGTACAGAGATTGAACTCAGGGGCACTGAACCACTGAGCCACATCACCAGCCAATTTTTGTATTTTATTTAGAGACAGGGTCTCACTGAGTTGCCTAGCGCCTTGCTAAATTGCTGAGGCTAGCTTTGAACTCCTGATTCTCCTGCTTCAGCCTCCCAAGGGGATGGGATTATAGATGTGCACCACCATATCCAGTTCAGATAAAGATTTTTTTAAAAATATTTTTTTTAACTGTAGTTGGACACAATACCTTTAGTTTTTTTTAAATTAATTTTTATGTTGTGTTTTGATCGAACCCATCCTGGCACTGCTAGGTGAGCACTCTACTGCTGAGGCACAGCCCCAGCATCTCAGATAAAGATTTTAAGGAACCAGTTTCACAGAGTTGTGAAGGCAGAGGAGTTGAAAAAGGCAGCTTTGGAGTGTCAGCTTGAGGAATCAATTTGAAGTGGGCTGTGGGTTCTCTTCATGGACAGGAGAATCTGCATTATGCTGAAGCTTGGTGGATGAGAAGTAGAGGTTCGTCACTGTACTAATTTTCCTGGATAAGTCCTCTGAGAGTGACAAGGTCACAGGGTCAGAGTGTTGCCTCATCCAGTCTTTGAGGAATTCCTCCTATTTATGAGTCTTCGCAAAGGGAGTTGTATCTGATTAGGTTGATGAGCCTCTGTGTCTGGTGTTTCTCAGATCATTTGGGAGGTCCAGGTGTCAAGGTGTTCCTGATTTAGTTTGATGAATTAGCATGAATAAGTGCCTTATGGTTGTGCCAGGCAAATGGTGGTTGTTTACTTGTACAAACAATAGTCATTCTACCTTGGCATTTGTGCTCAGATAAAGATTTGTGGCAAAATACTCCTTCATAAAAGGGTATTCACTGGCAAGGTATAGATTGCTCTCCGAAGGGTGATTTTCTCAAAACTTATTACTTTGATTTATGCAAAAGGCAGACCAAGTTGCAGGTCTAATATAGAAGCACTCAGGGAACCTGGAGCAAAGTGTGGTCAAGGAGTCTTTGTGAGTAGACCTCATGATACATACTGTGTCCTGTCCACGTGGACATACAACCAGATATTGGCCAATTTTCTCATTTCAAAGCATTTTAAGAAAGGGGATAATAAAAAGATCCATGAGCATAAAGCTTTGTTTTTCTGTTTCATTATTTCACAACCTATTTTCAACAAGTCTTCCTCCCTTGCCAGTACCCCAAACTAGTAATAAATTGAGTGTTAAGGCAAGCCCCTAAGAGCTGTGACTCTCTAAGTAGAATGTGTCTCAAGAAACACCTGGAGATCTGGGCAAGAATTCCAACTTCGAATGTAAATAATACTCAATGGTTATGCTACCAGATTGTGAAAGGCAATATCTACACAGAAGTAGGTTTGGTACTTTTTGCTGAAGGGTGTTGGGGCGAAATTTCCCTTCTTATTCATATTTTCTGAGTGCTGAATGAACACTTGTACATTCAGCATGAGATTCACTTAATGAATAACAAAACGAATTAAAATAAGCCTTGAAGGAGACTTGGCGTTTGATTTAAAAAAAAAAAAATTGCAAATGCGACAAAGTACAAGCAGGTTTGTAATTAAAGATACTTAAAAGTGAGTTAAAAGTGGGAATCAGAAATCTGTGATCCAAAAACTGGGCCTCTTTAAATAGGGAACTTTGTGCAAAGAATCCCTTTTTTTTGAAACACGAAGGGCGGGGTAGGAGCGGAGCGGCGCTCGTCAGTGGTCTTTTACTGCCACCTAACGTTCAATGTTTAACTGAACGACGACAAAAGTCCGTGATTACGTACCCTTTCCACACGATTTCTGCTCTTTAGAACCAAAGTAACCCAATGAAGTACTGGGGCAAGATAAATGGTAAGGATCAAGCAATTGCAGTCTGACCAGGTGCCCCTTCACATAACCAGTAGGGGTTCCCGGAAGTCCATTTGCTATTGAGGGCGCGCTCTCCTAAAGTCCGACCCGGAAGCCATAATAACAGCGGCAGGAAGTTCCGGCTGTTCAAAGGCAGCGGTTCCGGCCTCAGGAGGGCCCAGGCTTCTGGGCAGTGTGGATGTGTTTTATTAGTGTTGTGCGGTATTCGGCGTGGTCCTTAGAACTCGCCGCCTGAGCTTATTTCGTGAACGGCTTCTTCTGTTCCTCGGGGTACCGGACTTACTGTGAGGAATGAGAGCGAGCGGGGCCGGAGATGGGGGATGTGGGACCTTAGACCTAGGCCCCGAGGGTCATATTGAGGAGTAGTGCAGTGATGGATGCTTTCGTTCTAGTTGAGCATGCGCATTAGCTCTCTAGGGATAATAAAAAGGGGTGACATGACAAAGAAATGTGGTGAATGTATCTCCGTTTAGACTAAGTGGTAAGATTGGACTTCCAGAAATGATTGTTGAAGAGTTTAGGAATGATCCAGCCTGGCTTTGATGAGTGGAAAGGCTTTTTCTGTTTTCCTTTTTGTTTGTTTTGTGTTTTACCAACAGAAACTTACCACAAAATATAGATATGCTTGTTGCTTTATTCCCTCCAGGTGCTCCTAGCTTCACCCAGTTTCCCGATGGTGCTTTGAGCTGAGCAACTTTCCTCCACTGGGCCCTTACCCCCGATATGCTGCCTCACCTGAGGTTCAGAGCAATGGATTTGGCTGTTTATGGACTGCGATCTCTTAAAACATGATCGCTATATAAACTTTTCCTGCTGTAAGTTGTTTTTGTTGGGTATTTTGGTCACAGTCACACAAAAGCTAACTAATACTCTTCCCTTCTGGACTCCTTTCCCTATGAGCCCTGGGATTTTTCTCCTTCCATATTAAGTTAGTATGGAACTTTGCTTGGCTGTCATAGGAGAAGTAGTGTGTCACATATTCCCCAATGTTATTAGGGGAAAGCCAGTGGAATTTTAATTCTGTATGAGTTTGGAATGGGCCCACCATATAGTACATCTTCACCTATTAGGTAGTAGACAGACATGAGTAATAGGAAAAAGGAGGGGAATACTGTACTCCCCCCCCCCCCCATATGCTGTCTTTCTGGGAAAAAAAAAAAAAAAAAGCAATTTACCTAACCTAGCTTATTGGCTTTAATCAGTAGGCTATGCTGCATTTCTCACCCAGTAACATGCAGAGCTATTGTCAGGGCCTCCCTGCCAATAAGAACAACACAAGTTACTGTAAAGCTGGGACTTTACAGCTATACACCGATCAAAGATTCCAGGACTCAGGAAGACAGGATAATTAAAAGCAAAGACCACCAACTGTAAAATAGCAGTAGGGAATTAACCTAATGTGATCGTATTGTCAGTTGCAAATTGAGAGGTGGTTCCTGGGGGTACACTTTAGAAACTTCCCTAAGGCCCCCAATAAAACTAGGAAAGTGGCATGTAATCAGTATCTTCTTTGAGAGAACCCACTTTTACCTTTGAGAGTGTCTGTTTTTTTTCCCTTCTAATGATCTTTGGTATACTTTTATTATGTGTTATGTAACGCCTGAAAGTTTTTTATGCAATAGCACCAGAGCCAAAATTACAACACAGTTTCCTTTACCATTTTGGTGCTGTGACTGAGATTGATATTTACTTTTCTAGATCTTTATTGTAGGCCTTAGATTCATGGTGACTAGAAGGATATTTTAAGACAACTGAAAGTCTCTGGCTGGAGATACTCTGCTGGGACTGAAACTCTTGATTGAGATTCAGATCCTCCAGACCCTAGAGGTAAGAAACTGAGGCTTTCTTTTCAGTCTTTTTGGCAGATAGGTCTTGCCCACTGACAATTGAAAGTCTCCTGGCTAGGACAATACTATAATGGAATCTGAAGTTCAATGACTACAGGATTTTTGAACCCCGGAGACCATTAGGGGAAAAAGACCTCTTTCCCTTCCTCATACCCTTTTCATCTTGAGATGGGTGTTTGAGAATAAAGGGAGAAATGCTGAATTTAAAAGGAAGTACCCTTGACCCTTCCTTTGTATCATAAAGGCAGTGGGCAGGTGCAGGGAAAACTGGCGTGAAATTATGTAACTCCATCCTAGCTCTACCTCTAGTTCAGTCCCTAGCATCTGTCCCTCTATTAATATTAATTCCCTACACCAACGGGTTGCTGTCTCTTCCATTGGAGATAGCCAGCATTCTCACTTGAATGTGTATTCCTTGCTTTACTCCAAAGGTAGCATTATCTTGAGATTGTCCCCATTCTCCATTGAATATATATCTACTTTCCTAAATAATTCTCTATCTATGCCTTAGACTGGTGTGTGCTGAAATTTTTTTCTGTCTCATATGCCAAGAACCTCGGTGGTCCTGAGTCAGGTTACCCCTTCTCTCTGGGAACCCTTCTTCAGAGACATCCCCTCTTCTGCGATAACCTCTATCTCTGGACCAACCAAACGTTGTGGGACCTCACTCAAGTCTCAAATCAGTGGGAACTTGAATTCACATTTAAGGTAAGAAGACAACTTTCCATGCCTTTCTGTCAAAACGCACATTTTAAGCTCTGCCTCTTATATTCAAAAGGCAAGTTTCTTAGCTCTTCTGTTACTTTTTTTTTCTTCAAATTTGTGTTCTAGTTAGCTTTTTCATTGCTGTGAACAAAAGTCCTGACAAGAACAATTTTAGAGGAGGGAAAAGTTTATTTGGGGTTCAAGGTTTCAGAGGTCTCAGTCCATTCATGGCTAAATTCATTGAATCCATTGTGCTGGCCCCAAGGTGAGACAGAACAGCATGGTGGAAAGGTGTGGCAGAGGAAAGCAGCCTAGGCCCTAGCCACCTGTAAACAGCACTTCTCTCACCAGGAACAAAATGTGTACCCTAAAGGCATGCCCTCAGTAACCTACCTCCTCCACTGACACCTTATGTATCTATAGACACCACACAGTTAATCAATTTAAATGGATTAATGCACTAATTAGGTTAAGGTTCTCCTCACCCAATCATTTCACCTCTAAACTTTCTTGTATTATCTCACACATGAGCTTTTGGGGGACATTAATTACACATGGTTTTCATGCTTTCCTTTGGTTCATTAAACATGGTTTCCCTTAGTTCTTTTTTTTTTTTTTTTGAGTATTGGGGATTGGGGATTTAACCCAGAGGGCTTTGTCACTGAGCTACATCCCCAGCTCTTTTTATGTTTTATTTTGAGACAGGTTTACTAAGTTGCACAGGACCTCACTAAGTTGCTGAGGCTGACTTTGTACTCGCAATCCCCCTGCCTTAGTCTCCCGAGTCTCTGGGATTGCGGGCACGTACCACTGCACCTGGTTTACCTTAGCTCTTTGAACTGATCAAGTTTGATAGTATATAGGCTTTGAAGAATTAGTCCATTTCTTTTAAATTATCAAATTTTGAATGTATAATTATTCACAAAATAATTCTCTTTGAAAGCCAGGCACAGTGGCACACACCTGTAATCCTAGTGGCTTGGGAGGCTGAGGCAGGAGGATCGTGAGTTCAAAGCCAGCCTCAGCAACCGTGAGGCGCTAAGCAACTCAGTGAGATCCTGTCTCTAAATAAAATACAAAATAGGGCTTGGATGTGGCTCAGTGGTAGAGTGCCCCCGAGTTCAATCCCTGGTACTGCCTCCGCCCCCTGAAAAAAAGAATATATGTTATAGATGAGAGAGCATGGCTGGTAGCTACAGTAGCCACTGAGGCAAGGGGAGAAGCACAGGCAGAGAATTTATAAACAATTTTTTTTTTTTTTTTTTAACTTCGGGAAACTTGTGGATTAGAGAGAGAGGCTGATTTTTCATACACACAAACATATATTTTTAGTTGTAGACGGATACAATACCGTAAATATAATAAATTAAATAAAATTATGTGGTGCTGAGGATCCAACCCAGTGCCTCACACATGCTAGGCAAGTGCTCTACCACTGAGGTATAACCTCAGCCCGGGAGGCTGATTTTAATGAACACAGAGTCAGTAGGGAAACGAGTTGAATGAAACCAACCCAAAATTGCTCAGATTCCTGGAGCAGGGATTTTGAACTGAGATTCCTGGCAGGTGCAGCCTGGGAACTATCTGTAAACACTGGGGCAGCCAGCAGAGACAAATCAGGATGATTGATGTAAAGGAAGTTGCCAGCATTTTACCACCTGCATTTTACCACCTGCAGAGTGTGCCTGATTCAGAGTGACTGAAATAGCCACAAAACATTATACAAGCTCCAAATACAAAGAGGAGAACACTAAATCTTTGTGGCAGGCACCCCATAAGAGCTATCGGGAATCCACCTTATAGCAGTCACCCAGGAGTGTTTGCATTCCAGGGCATATATGCGGTAATTCACATTCACAGTGGCCAAGGTAAAACCTGTGGAAAGTTAGTCCCTATACCGGAAAAGTGGATTTTACCAGAGGCCTCAGTGATCTAGACATCCAGCAGAGTCTGGCATTTCTCCAGTAATAGGGGGTGTGAACCAAATCCCAAATATCTACCAACAGAGTTCCAAAATTCACCCAACATTAAACCCCAAATACTGGAACGTCATATTTAGAACTCTGCTTTACCCCCACTATGGTATTACACAATCCACCAATATTACATAGTCTATCCTATTCTGTACTGGGAGATCGGAAGCTGAGAGCTACTACACTTGGCTAGCAGCTAGGTGAGGAACACAAAGACGTGTGATTTAATAACCCCCAGCTCTTGATCCAACGGTTACAAAGCCAAAAACAAACATAGAGAATGAAAATCCATTCCTGCCAATAATTTTGACCACCAAAACAGAAACAGGCCCTTTATTTCTTACCAAGATATTTCTGTTTTTTCTTTTATCTTTCTTTCTTATCTATATTCACATTTTTAAATTTTTAATTCTCTTTTTAAATTTTAACCTAAAATTTTTCAAGCATAATTTCATCAGTGTATTATTTTTTACTTTTTTTGATCATACATGATTTTTTGTATGTGTATATGTGTGTTCTCACTGAAAAATAGTGAGAAAATAGGCTTGAAAAAATAAGTATACATTCATATAATTTTTACCTTCACATTAATAGCATTTGTATATAATTTAGTCTTATTTGAATCAGTGGGGTATAATTATATGAGAATTTGAGTTGTTTTGATCTTACATTTGTAGGTTCATACCTTGGTTCCTGTCCCTCCTATTTCCCGTTTTTTACTTTTTTCTCTAATGGGCAGATTTTCTTGTTCCTTCTTGCTTTCTTTCCTTCATTCTTTAGTTGTAGTTAATTTTTATCCCTCTTTACAGTTGACATCTGGTATCTCCTGCCTCTCCTAAGAACAATTTCTTAAGTATCTCAAACTTTCTTTCATCTTCCTGATTTTCTCTTACTTAAAAAGTAGAAATCACTGGGTGTGGTGGTGTACCCCTGTAATCCCAGCAGCTCAGGAGGCTGAGGCAGCTGAGGCAGCTGAGGCAGGAGGATCACCAGTTCAAAGCCAATCTTAGCAACTTAGTGAGGCCCTAAGTAGGGCTGGGGATATAGTTCAGTTGGTAGAGTGCTTGCCTTGCATGCATAAGGCCCTGGGTTCAATCCCCAGCACCACAAAAAAAAAAAAAAAAAAAAAAAAAGAGGCCCTAAGCAACTCAATGAGACCCTGCCTCTAAATAAAGTACAAAATAGGGCTGGGGATGTGTCTCAGTGGTCAAGTGCCCCTGAGTTCAACCCCTCATACCAAAAAAAGAGCCGAAATCCCACTAAATAACAGAATTATGCAGTTTATATATTTCCTACTCCATTTCTGTTGTGATTATAAATACAGTGGATGACATAGTAGACACCTACTGTTAAATGTCCAATCTAATTCACAGTTATTTATAGTTGGTACTGATGTTAAATGCTAATCCCATCATTCCTATATAGATGGCAATTAGTGTTATAGATTTCAAAGTACACACTGAATATTTATATTAGCACTGTACATCTGTTGCTGACATTAGGGCTGTCCCTGGCTCCCCCTTTCCCCTAAAAGGGGCTGGAAAATGATTGGGACACTTTGAGATCACAGAGTAGTGATCCTGATGCCGAGAAATCCTCACAACTCAGCCAAGCAAAAGTGAATCTCACCCCACACATGATCTAGACCCACCTGAGCCCTGACATTACTTCAACTCATAGAATTGGGGAGATAAAACTCCCAAACCAATAACCAGAGGGTGACTCATATTCCACCCCTTTACATCTACTCATATATCAAAAATTGAAAGAGATTCCAGAAGAGACAGTAACTACACACAAAAGGACATACATACAAAAGAGAAAGGTGAATCCATTTCAATTGATGCACAAGTTCAGGACTTTTGAAAACATGAGAAAACAGGCAAACAAATTTCACCCCACTCCCAAATTTATAATCCCCTAACAAAGGATCCCAGATATGAAAGGGATAAAATTCCAGAGAAAGGTTATTTAAAAACAGATTTTTTGTTGTTGTTGTTGGTACCAGGGATTGATCCCAGTGATCCCTGGATACAACCCTAGCCCTTTTTTACTTTTCATTTTGAGACATGGTCTTAATAAATTGCTTAGGGCTTTGCTAAGTTGCTGAGTCTGGCTTTGAACTTGTGTCCATCCTGCCTGAGTTTCCTGAGCCAATTGGATTATAGGCATGCTCCATTGTGCCCAGTAAAAACTGATTATTAAAATGTTCAGTGAAATTTGGCTGGGGCTGGGGCTCAGTGGTAGAGCGCTCGCGCAGCAAGGCGCTAGGTTCGATCCCCCACACCATATAAAAAGAAAACAAAAATAAAATTAACGTTAAAAAAAACTTAAAAAACGTTTAGTGAAATAAAAGAAGAGCTAATGAATTAATTAAGAAAGCAATGCAGGAAATGAAAGACCATTTCAGTAAAGAAATAGAAATATTAAAGACAAACCAATCAGAATTCCTGGAAATGAAAAACACAGTCAAATTAAAAACTCACTTGTAATCATCACCAACAGATTACACTGCATAGAATATAGAACCTCAGGCCTTGAAGACAGGGTACATGAAGTTGAACACATAGTATGCAATAAAGGGAAAAATTAATAGAAATTGACCAAAATATACAAGAATTTTGTGATAATATCAAGAGACCCAACTTGAGAATAATTGGGATATAAGCTAAAATCATTAACAACATCAAGAACGTTTTCAATGATAAGAGTAAAAGAAAACTTTTCCAGTATCAGAAATGAGATAGACATCAATGTACTGGAGGTATACAGGATCCTAAATAGACCAAATCAGACGAGAAGCTCTTCAAGACACATCATAATCAAAATGCCAAACATAGAAAGTTAGGAAAAACTATTAAAAGGGACAGGAGAGAAATATCAGGTCACATTTAAAAGAAACCAATAAATCTCACTTCTGACTTCCCAATTCAGATGCTAAAATGAATGAGAGCCTGGAATGAGATATTGCAAGCTCTAAAAGAAAATAATTGCCAACTAAGATTGCTGTGCTCATCAAAGCTTTCTTTC